GCTGAAATAGTCCTTCTGCCCAGGGGAGTGTGGGGGTGGTTCGGAGGGGACAGGCTGGGGAGGGGAGCGGGGAGGGCATTGGAAGCTGGATGCAGGAGGAAATGAGCATCGTGGGTCCCATGACTCAGAAATCTGCACCCTAAAGGGCTGCAAAAGTTCTGACGCGTAAGTAGGCTGTGGCACGGGGGCCCCGGGGGGGGGGGGGGGGGCACGATGGCATCAGCCATACTTTTTGTTGGTTTGTTTGTTTCCAGATGACAACATTTAGCAAACCGTCTGTCCACAGGCTGTAACAGAAGAAGGAAAGTGCATCCCTCCCTGCAAAGAAGCGTCCCAATCTTAGCTGGAATTGATGGAATTATTGTGAAGCCGTGGCCCTTTGTGGTTGTCGGCTCACATTCCTCCCTTTTGTGCTTTCTGCATGACACGGCATTAAATTCCCCTCTGCTCAGCACAAATCATGCTGCAGTTGTTCAGGGGGCGCGCTGTCAGTGTTTATGAAGTATCAAACTGCTCACACTCATTTAATTCAAATTCACCACCGAGTGCGAGGCCAGCGATTGGGGGAAAACGAGTTTTCTGACGAGTCTCTAGTGGAGAGAGACCATAACAGTGTTTCCACTGCAGGTGATAATCCTGGAGCTTTATGCATCTCAAAACATTTCAGACCACTTTACTGGGCTGAGACTTTACTCACAGCTGATTTATGACTTCATAAACACTGACTCTCTGCTTGACGTCAGACTATTAATTGTGTTGCACATAAAACGTTCGGTGTCCTTGTTGGGAACTCGAGCGGTCCCGTTTGTGTTGCCACCCTCCTGGCTCATGCTAACTCATTCCAGTTAGCAGCTCCAAGCCTTTTCCTATCATCGCATTAGTTTTTCAGGTCCTTCACAGTTAAAGTCATCATTGTTTCCAACAAACAATGTGGTGAAGAGGAAGCAGAGCTGCAAGGCGAAGCTCTGTTTACCGGTCGGGCTACGTTCCTACCCTCACCTATGGTCATGAACTTTGGGTGGTGACTGAAAGAACGAGATCACGGCTACAAGGAGTTTCCTCTGCAGCCTAGCTGGACTCAGAGGTAGGGTGAGAAGTTCAGTTATCTGGGAGAGATTTGGAGGAGAGCTGCTGCTCCTCCACATCGAGGGGAGCCAGTTGAGGTGGTTCAAGCATCTGGTAAGGGCGCCTCCCTGGGGAGGTTTTCTGGGCATGTCTGACAGGGAGGAGACCCCAGAAGACCCAGGACATGATGGAGAGACTTTGTTCTTTGGCTGACCTTGGAATGCTTTGGAATCCTCCCAGAGTAGCTGGAATAGGTGGAAAGAGATGTCTGGGCCTGCATGCATGCATTTACATCCATCCATCCATCCATCCATCCATCCATCCATCCATCCATCCATCCATCTATCCATCCATCCATTATCTTTACCCGTTTATTCCATTTTGGGTCACGGGGGTCGCTGGTGCCCATGTCCAGCAAACACTGTGCGAGGGGCGGGGTACACCCTGGACGGGTCGCAAGTCCATCACAGGGACACATAGAGACAAACGAGACAAACAACCATTCACTCTCTCACTCACACCTAGGGACAATTTAGAGTTACCAATCAGCCTAACATGCATGTTTTTGGACTGTGGGAGGAAACCGGAGCACCCGGAGAAAACCCACGCATGCACAGAGAGAACATGCAAACTCTACCCAGAAAGGCCCCTGGACCGGGGTTTGAACCAAGGACCTGCTCGCTGAGAGGCAGCAGCTCTACCAGTTGCACCACCGTGCTGCCATGCATTTACATATTTATTTAAATATCCATTTAAGGATGATGGATGGATGCCGTCATAAATAAAGGCTTAGCATTTACCGGTAGACTAAAAGCTTTTAATATTGTGAAATGTTGGAGTTGTAGCCATTTTGGCCAAACCTTGAAAACAATGTTGTGCTTGTACGTGTTGTGAACGACAAACCGAGTTAGAACCATTGTTTGTGTTGGCTTAGTGTCAGTTAGCTGTGGCAACCATTTTGAATTAGTTTCCAAACCATAATAAGATATAGATGTACAACTAATTACTTTTTTTTCTCAAGGTTTTATTAAAATATGTCCAGTGATTTATAGGATAGATTGCTAACAGACAAACTGGGTTGACACAAACAGTTAATGCAAAAGTTTTAAGCAAAAATTTTGCACAGTATGTTGCACTTGAAGTATGTGTTGTGAATGAGACTCAGCTACTAACACACCAAATTTTAGCTCAATATCTTTAAAAATGACCGAATTATAGCATTTTGAGGTTTTCTAAGAGCAGTCAGCTGGGGCAGCCATCTTAAATCAAGTTGACTCAAAAAAAAAAAAAAAATCAGTTTTAAATTTAAATATTGGAATTACTTTCTGCAAGTTTCAGTAAAATTCATTTAGCATTTCTTGAGATATTTTGCTAACAGACACACAGACACAGGCAAAAACATTGCCTGCCTATGCCTTTTAGTAGCAGGCGATAAAAAACAACATAGGCATGCTCAAAGAATAGGAAGCTAAAATATCCCAGAGTGTGGATTATATAGTTATCTTTTTTAAACAAAAAGCTAAGCTTGACACAAGTATCTTTTTTCATGTCATCCATTTAGTTGCTGTTTAAAAAATGTCTCTTTCCTTTACATTGTTCTCTGAAGGCAAAGTGGTGCTTCTCTTTGAATTATGCATAATCAAAGTCACCCAAGTCTCTAAACACCATCCTAAAATATTCATCTTAAGTACCTTTTGTGTACATGTCACTTCAAGTCTCTTGTAAATTCACCCCCATAAATTATAAATACTTCCTACAGAAATATAAGATGAGCGACACAATGGCTCTCAGAAGGGGGTCTCCACTCAGGGTAAGGAAAAAAAAAACACTAATAAAATGTTGAAGACTTTGCCACAGAAATAAAACTGTAATAACATTATTATTTTTTTACGTTTGTGAGTAGATATATTTTGTGCCGTTTTTTCCAAAGTGAAAAAACAAAAACAATTAAGAAGCTATAATATTACACAGAGGTGAAGAAAGCAAATGCCTGTTGATAATCGTTAATAATAGTTTAGACTTATTTGAAGGCACTAGTGTGGAGTGTTTATGAGTAGTAAGTATCTTACCTGCAGCAGACGGCAATAAGACTAATCTCAGTTGGAGGGGTGGGGAGGATTTTCATGTAAAAAATTACGATAACATCTGGGAGCATGACTCATTTAAGAACTAATTTAATAGCTTCTTAAACAAACAAAAGAGAAAAAAACAACAAAAAAATATTTCCAACTATTTAATGCTTATATAAAGCAAAATTAGTTT